GCGAATTTTTTTTCGTTCTCCTTGTTTGAGAAATTCCGAAAATAGGTTTAGGCTCTTAAAAATCGGATTTTGACGGTGGAAATTCCCAAAAATTCGCGTTTTTGAAAATTCGAGCGTTTTTTTCTTCTGAAATTTTCCGAAATTTTTTAGCACACTAAGCCGTATCTGACCCTCAAACTGCAACTTCCGGGTAGTTCACTCAGTAACGGTGAACTCCCGGACTCAAAGTGATCTCAAAGAGGCCTAATCACAATACCTATCAAATTCGTTTATTATCATGATTGCAATTACTGTTATTGATTATCTTTATTGCAAATAATGATTATTGGTTATCTTTATTACAAACATTGTTTTACTGATTATCATTCGGATTTATTTCGTTAATTATCATTAATTAATTTTATTGATTAAATCGTTAATACTTCCTTTTTACGAATTTTTTGAAGGGTTTATGGGAAATTTATTTTTTTTCCTGTTTGATTAGGTGTCTAAAGTCCATTAGTGGGACAGGGGATTGTATGTATATTGCTTGATTGTTCTACCCCTGTTCCCACTCTACCTACCCCCCCTGTAGTCTGTGAACACCGGCACCTCTCAAGTACCGCATCAGTTCAGACTGATGTCGACGGAACAGGACACCGGGGCACTGCCATGGCGCAGTGCCAGGATCGCAGTTCGTGTCCGCCCTGCGGTACCTCCAAGACCCAAGAGATTCAGCAGACGGACGACCCCAGCGGCATCAAGTACGGCTTTGAAAGTACAAGACACCACCGGAGATCTTGCAGCATGCCCGGTCCGAGAGGCCAGCGAGCCTTGGGCTGACTATCGTGGGCGGCTACAGGCATTTACAGACGCCGTAGCCGCCGCTGAGGCTCAGCAGGCTGCGGCAGAGGCAGAACGTCAGCGGCTGGCCAATGAGGTGGCAGCCGAAGCTCAGCGGACAGCTGAGACTGACGAAGCGGCACGAAACAGACGGAATGCTGCCAGCACGGAGTTCCTGATTGCTAGTGAGCATCAGTGGACAACGGAACTCCAAGGCATGATCTTTGTGCCTACGGAAACGCAGGCGGAACCGACACAGGCGGAGGCAGAGAGAAGTAACCTGGCTACCGTGATGTTGAACGTAATGAGGGGAGTAATGTGGAACAACAAACTACTGCAGGCACACCTGCACGCGGAACGACAGCAAAGACAGCAGTACCAGCAAGACCTGGCCGCTGTAACGGCCGACGTCCGCGACGCAGCAAAGCAGCAGCAGCAACATCAACAGCTGATGAACTCTACCATCGCACGCATCAACGGCATTGAGGCCAAGGCCTCGGCAGCGCCAGGCTGCACGACGGACGTGACGAAGCAAATCAACGAATGTATCGATAACGTCGTCACCATCATCGGCGACATAGGTGTTTTCAACGGACCGGACACGATCAGCAGCACGGTGGCCACCATCAAGACGGACATCACCAAGCTACAGACGAGACCGGACGCCGCTACAAAGACGTTCAAGATGCCGCACTTCGACATCTGCGAGTTCGATGACTACAACAAGTCGGACGCTTTGACATGGTGGCAACGTTTCCTCATGGAAGCGGCATGCCGCACTGTCCCGGCGAACGACATGTTGAAGGCACTCTATTTGCAACTGATTGGAGGAGCGCAGGCATGGATGAACCACCTGGTGGCCACCCACAAGTGCACCATCGCCGAACTCCACACGCACATCACGTGGAAGGAGTTCGAGCAGCTATGGTTCACCCGGTTCATGGTCCGCAACGTCGTGAAGACGGCCATGAATGAGGTGTACACATGCTCTCAGGGGAACATGCCAACTCGAGACTGGATATCGAAGTGGCAAAAGATAGTGACCACACCAGGCTTGGACTTGACGTTCCTAAATCAACGATCCGAGTTCTTCTCGCGATCATGCGCGGGATTGCGGACGGCACTCGGTAATGAGTACGACTATATCACATTCCAGGGCATTCTAGATCGAGCGAACTTGGTCATCCAAATGGACGATAAGGCCGCTAACGAGAGACAATCCCAGCCGTACTATGTGGCTAAGCAGGCCTATCAACGTYCGGCAYATAACAATGCCGTGATTTCTGAGGAAACCGACGACCACCACGCTGCAGCAGCATCCTCGAGTGATGGAGGAATTGTCGCAGCGCTCCCGCCGAAGCGTCCCAAGAGAGTTCGAAAGAACAAGGCGACACAAGAGACGGCAGCGATGGGAGCTGGGAAGCCATGGACGACATATAAGACCAAGGAGGTCTATGACCTACGTCAGAAGTACGGATACTGCCTTTGGTGCAACGGAGTCACCCATGTGACCACACAATGCCCGGAAAAGGGCAAGGCACGCGTATCCCGTCCAGCAAACTCGGGAAATTGAGTTACGCAAGGAGAGGGGCGACGTCTCTCCTCACTCCGCCGGACCCGGTTGCCTTGCTAGCAATCGATGTCACTACCGGGGAGCATGCGTTAGTCGCTGATTCTCGTGCCACGTACGAGGATTATGCCGCCCAACTGGTACCACCATTAGACCAGCCTAGCCACGTGCATGTAGATTGCGTATG